ACATGTAGTAATAAAATATAATTGTTGATTAAATAAAAATAAAATAAGCTAAAATTTTTCCAGAATTGGGCTAGGGACTCAAATGAAAGGAGAAATGAAATTGCCATATTTAATACAGAGAAAGTGAGATCCTAAAGGGAAAATAGAGGCCACAGTGTTGTGTGGGAAAGGCAGAGGTATGTTGAGCAGAGATATGAAAGCTTGGTTAAAGAGAGATGTGGTTAGAGTGATGTGTTTAATAAATGTTGCTGTGTTATGTGTAATGTCAGCACCTCATTCGTTACTCTCCACACTATTAGTAAAAATCTGTATAAATGTTTTTGGAGATAGATTTTTAAATTTGTTTTTTATTGTAATGATATATGAGATGGCCTCATGGGGCACTGAAGGAGGGCAGGCAGATCCTAGGATGCAGTGTTATATTCAGGGACATAGCCTCCTTGTATTATATTGTAAATTGCATAAGGATGGTCATTATATTTGTTTTCCCCTCTGCTGTACCTCCACTATATAAAAAAATTATCGGACACATGGTAGGTATGCAATTTACTCGAGTGAGTGTGTGAGGATAATTTTCCACAGCGTCAACAGAGGAAATTCTGATCATGTCACTCATGCACTTCAGTCTTCTAAAGCTTCCTCATCTACGTTTAGACCTTTATTGTGGGCCAGTTAAAAAAATCTTGGCCCACATATCCACTCCTGCAACTGCCACTGCCACCAGGTCTGTGCAGGTGCCACCCGTTTCATACGATTGCAACTTGAGGGCACATGCAAGTGCACAGAAATGAACTGACTTTGGAGCCACCTTCCTGGAATGGGAGATGAATGCCCATGGATAAGTCTTCCAAGGACCTATTCTGAGTGCATTTTGTAAGGCTCTGGCCCTGTGGGCTCAAGCTCCAGCTGCCTGTAGAAGTGGTCATCTCCATGATGCAGCCCACCTTTCCACTGTTTCACTCCTCACCCCCACTCCAGCCCACATTCCTGCTTTCTGGGATATATTTTTGGGGAAAAAACATGCAACAAAACTACTTACAAGAAAATTTTGTGTCCAGCTTTGCTTTAAGAGAATCCAAGACATTTCATAATAGTTTTAAAGTAAAATTTTCTTTGTACTTGAGAGGAAATGATTTGCCTAAGTATATAGCCTCTACTATTTTTAGAAATGACTATTGTTTTTTTCTTTTTTTTTCAGGGAAGTATAAAAACACAATGTTCTTGAAATGACTTTTATAGCTAACTCTATGGTCACAGCAGATTAAGTGTAATTTTTATATTCAAACCCCTGCAGAGGTGTTTGCCAAGTCTGCAGAAATATCTACTCTGATGCCTGTCTCTGCACGGAGAGGTTTGTAAAACCCACCAGGAAGTCCAGCCAACCGTGGTGCAATAAATGGATTCATCCACAATTGTATTCAATTTTTATCTTAGACATAATGTCTAATATATGCCATCTACTTGGGAAAACATTCAGGAGTGTGTCCTTTTGAACATACTTTTCAATTTTTTTAAAAAGAGAGATCAAATAGTGATATGGAAGTTTTGGGTTTTTTTTTTATTTTTAAAAATGATTCCAGTCTAATAGAAGCCTTTTTTTAGCATATTAAAAGTTTCTTTTTTTTCACACATTATCCTGGTATAAATTCTGTAACCACTCAACAGTTCAGTAATTCTTAAACAGAAACTGTTAACTTAGAATTGTATGTAAATGTTAAGTATGAGAAGTTTGGAAGTGGTCATGGTTCCCCTGTATGTAGAATTGGTTCCCTTTAAAGGTGGGGTGAGGAGAAGGCTGGATACAGTGTGTTGAAAGTCCCCTCAGCTTTTTTTTTTTTTTAAATCCTCACCCTGATTGGGAATCAAACCCACCACCTTTGGGTGGACCTGAGGATGCTCCAACCAACTGAGCACATGGGCCAGGGCAGTCCTCTTGGCTTTGATATGGGAGCAAGGAACTGGCTGTCAGGCTGTGGACACCCATCTGCTGAAAAAGCTTTTGCCCCCAGGCCATTGTTCTCATTAAGAACTCTAGCTGTCCAGCCAAAACCGGTTTGGCTCAGTGGATAGAGCGTCGGTCTGCGGACTGAAAGGTCCCAGGTTCGATTCCGGTCAAGGGCATGTACCTGGGTTGCGGGCATATCCCCAGTAGGAGATGTGCAGGAGGCAGCTGATCGATGTTTCTCTCTCATCGATGTTTCTGACTCTCTATCCCTCTCCCTTCCTCTCTGTAAAAAATCAATAAAATATATTAAAAAAAAAAAAAAAAGAACTCTAGCTGTCCATAAAAAGTGCATCCATGTTGTTAAGAGACAACCCTATGGTCTTTTTGCATGTAGGAAAAGGAAGAGAAGGGATTTCAATATTTCACTGAAATAGATGTTCAACATACATACCTTCAAACCCTACTGTTCAGTCTCATTTTTATGTGCACCCTTGACTGACTTTGATTTCAGAACTTCTTCAGGCTTCCACTGGGCACATGGTCTTCAGCCCTTTAAACTCCTTAGATCCCTCAAACTTTATTCTAAGTTTTAGTTTCTCTACCTGTTTAATCCTTTAACTCACATCCTTATTTTTCCAGAAACTGTTTATCAAAATGTCTTATTTGTTAGTGAACTGCTTGCTCTCCTTCAGCATCCTCACCCATGACATGGCTTTGTCTCCGAAGGTCTCAGAGGGTGACAGGCACCCAATGCAGGCACCCCGTCCACCATCTTGAGCTGCGCTCCCTTCTCTCCTCATTCAAACATGCATTTCCATGGCTTCCTTGACTCTACAATACTGTTTTTTCCTATTTACTCTGGCTTCTTATCATTATCTTTGTAGGCTTTGCATTCATTACCCTTCCTTTAATGCAATTTGTATTACTTAAGGTGTGTTCCTAAGCTCATTTCTCTTTATCTTATACTCTTTGTATGAGCTTTCTTAACCATACTGATGATTTCTTTAACTTGATTAAAGAAGAAATATCGATATTTTCTAGCATTATATATGAACCTCATCAAGGAAAAAAGGAAAAGTTAAAAAGAGTGGCTTTAAGGAGTGGGATTTGATGAGAGGAAGAAATTTTTGTTTTTGTTTTTGTTTTCTCTCATCCACAATTATACCATTCATTCAATATGGATATACAGTATTACTATGATTAAAAAAAATACACATTAGTAGGCAAAGAACGACCATGGAAACAACAACCTTAGATAATTTACAGAAAGGAAATGTAAATTTTCTAACCTCTCTCAGAATCTTAATTAAGACTATCATTCAAAAAATGTAATTGAAATTTAGCAGGCGTTTTCCATATCTTTCTTTTTAATTTAAATGCTAACTTTAAAATACCAGTTTCATTTTACTTATTTGTATTTCTTTAATGAGCCTTTACATATTATTGCTCAACTCATGATTCTTTGAAAATAAAGATGTTCACACAAAAAAGGTAAATAATTTGAACTGCCTCAGTAAATCCAATTACTATGATGACTGAAAATAGTTTCTTAGTTTAGTGACATGGTATTGGTGACGTAAGAAATAATGACTAATAGTGTAATGATCTGAAAAGGCCAGAGGGAATGAAAATCAACAAAGATAAAGGGATGTCCTTATAGGAGGAGAAACAAGATCTCTATCTCCATTAAGATAGGGGGAGGGAAGAACGATATGAAATAAGATGTAGTTAGGTCTGAATTTTATTAGCAGGAAGATAAATTTTATACTTATATAGTTTTTGTGAAGGGATGTTGGCTCATAGTCCAGTTTAAGGAAAGTTAGTAGGATGGAGTAGCAATGTTGAACTCCCATTTGCAGTTGGTGATCATGATCCATGAATCATCACCCATTCAGTGAACTATGTCAAAGCTTCCTCCTACTCCAGAGTCCCATGTTTAATTAACCATAATATCCTGGCAAATCTACCTCCTTGAAATCCCAGGCATGTCTCCTGCTTGCGAATGCTATTACCACTGCTTCCATTCTACTTCTCATCACCTCTTGGCTGACTGGTTTCAACAGACTCTAAATTGGTCTCCAAAATTCTGTATTTGTTTCTCATCTATTCCTGTGTCATTACTTTGCTGTGTCCCTTCATCTCTCTAATATGAGCTTCCTCATCTCAAAAAGAGCTACTGCTTCTATACTTTCTGTTAAGATTATTACTATTATAAGTACTTGTATTATATTTACTATTAAATCTAAATATATAAGATGAAAAGCTAAGTTGTAAGCAAAATCTTGTGATATAACTCTGGGCATACATTCCAGCAGCATATATTCTAAAACCAAGCATCTGAAAGAGTAGTGTTAAAATATATTATTTTTTAAGCTTTATAATAAGCACTTTCAAATTTACTTCATAATATGCATTTATAGATTTTTATTGCATGACAGAGCAAGCCACATATCATATATCAACTGTAATATAGCACATGACTTCTTTAATGCAATGCTTAACTGTAAATGTCTATAAAAATTTGAAGATCCTTTAGATGGCAATACCTATAATTATAGAATTATCATATCTGCCTGCACTTAAAAGTTAAAGATCCAACTATTCCTATTATTGGAAAAGTAATAATAACAATTATAACTATACCATGAAATATTAAAAGCTGAACATTCAATTTGAAGGTAACTAATATAAAAATGTAATGAAAAGTGAACCTATAAAATGCTCACAATTAATGCACATGTGCTATATAGAGGCAGTAAAGAGCAAAGAGCTGTGGAGTCTTTGCTACTGTTCATTTTTCTCACATTATCTCTCCCCTTTTTTGGCATTGGGAGGCATTATGTTTATTATTTCTCATCCATAGATCATCAACTTCCTATGTCAAAATTTTTATTCTAAGGTATGCATAATCTCAGACCAAAAATAGAGTTTCTAAGTATGGAAAATGCCTTTGTACTTTTTTGTGTGCTAGGTTCAAGGGTTTAGCAAAACACTATTACATCTTATTTTTCACCTTTGAGGTGTCTGATGTTTCAATCAGGGCCATGCAACTTACCATCATTTCGTAGAGTGAGTGGTGTTGGAGGACTAAGTACTCGGGCATTCGTCACTGTGTTTTTCACCAGACAAATATAGCTGCCAACATCCGATGCTTGGACTTTAGAAATATAAAGGTTGCCTGTCTCCTGGGAAATGAACCGCCGACTGTCTTCCGCCACAAAGGAAGGGAATTCGTTAAATACCCAGCTATAGATGATCTCTGAAAATACACAAAATTTAATTGTTGAAATAGATGTTACTTTACTAACAGTTAAAGCTCAACTAACAGAGCCTTTACTAAAATGTTAGGCATATTTCAAGGACATACATATTTGATCCATTAGATCCAGATGTGTTTAAAGGACTGTTGTTTTAATGGTTATGGAAAGATCTGGACTATTTCTTAAGAATGCTCAGCCTTTACATATTCATTTATTCATTCTATCCAAAAGTTTTTCAAGTATGTGTTAGATGGTTGACACTATGATAACACTAAACGTAAAAAAGATGAGGAGAGTTTTCCATTCTTAAAGATCAGTCTAATAGAAGATAGTTACCCGGACCTATAAAACATTGTGGAATCCTATCTAATAATAGACAAACATGGTAATTGACCGTACTTTTGCTACACCTCCCATTGGTTAATCAGTGTGATATGCAAATTAACCCAACCAAGATGGCGGCCGGCAGCCACGCAGCTGAAGCGAGCAGGAGGCTTGCTTGCTCCAGTGATGGAGGAAGCCAAGGTTCCGCACCAGCCGTGGCCCGGCTCTGAGCTCCAAAAGCAACAAAGTTTAAATTATAGAAGCTAAACAAACCCCAGATACCTGCTCTCAGCAGGCCGTGGCCTCAGAGCTGGAGTGAGTAGGAGCCAGCTCTCAGCTCCAGTGACAGCAACAAAGTTTCAATTATAGAAGGTAAATAAATCCCGGAATTTAAAAAAGAAAAAAAGAAAAAAAGGAGAGGCTGGGAGCTTCAGTTGCCAGCCAGCCTGAAAATGGCCCTCAGCCCCTCACCCAGATTGGCCAGGCACCCCAGTGGGGACTCCCACCCTGACTGGGACACCCTTCAGGGAAAACCAGCCGGCCCCCACCCGTGCACCAGGCCTCTATCCTATTTAGTAAAAGGTAATATGCAAATTGACCCTAACAGCAGAACGACTGGGAATGACTGGTCACTGTGACACACACTGACCACCAGGGGGCAGATGCTCAATGCAGGAGCTGCCCTCTGGTGGTCAGTGCGCTCCCACATGGGGGAGCTCTGCTCAGCCACAGCCAGGCTGATGGCTGCCAGTACAGCGGTGGTGGTGGGAGCCTCTCCTGCCTCCTCAGCAGCACTAAGGATGTCTGACTGCAGTTTAGGCCTGCTCCCCGCTGGCAAGTGGACATCCCCCGAGGGCTGCTGGGCTGCCAGAAGGATGTCTGATTGCCAGCTTAGGCCCAATCCCATGGGGAGCAGGCCTAAGCCAGCAGGTGGTCATCTCCCGAGGGGTCCCAGACTGTGAGAGGGCACAGGCCGGGCTGAGGGACCCCCCCCTCAGTGCACAAATTTTTGTGCACCGAGCCTCTAGTAAAGTAATAAAAATATATATTCTATTCTAAAGAAAGCATGGGAAAGGGATGCTTAAGTAATCACATCTATCATTGAAAACTTCCTGAATTAAGAGACATCTGAGCTGCATTCATTCATTCATTTGTTAACAATATTGCTGAGAGTCATGATAGACCAGCAATGTTCTAAGTGAAAAAATAAAAGGTGTGGGTTCTCATGGAGCTTTCATTATAGTGGGAAGAAATAAAAAATACAAGGAAGTGTATATCAAGTGATGATAAGTGCTGTGAAGAAAACTAAATCATGTTAAGAGAGCTAGAGCATGACAAGGATGAGAACATGTGAATTTGTATTTGAAAAGCTCTCTCTGACTACTGGATAGAGAAGAGCCAGGCTGAGGACAAAGCAGGGCATGGGGGAGGGGAATCAGGAATAATAATGTCTACTAGTCTAAGAGGCTATTTTCAAAATAGCCATGAAAGCTGTAAATAATTTGGCCTAGAATGGTAGCAGTAATGGTGAAGTGATGAGAAATGATTGGTTCTGATAAAAATGTGGTAATAGGAATTACTGATGAATTTTTATAAAATGAGAGGGAAAAAAAGAGTTCAGGAGTAAGACTTTGGAGCTGAGTAACTGAGCAACTGGAAGAAAATATTTATCTTTATTGAAATAGAAAGACTACAGAAAGAGCAGTTCTTTGGAATGTGGGTGAAGTAAAATCAGTTTAAATTAGAGGTTAAATTTGTCATACTATCTAGCATACAATTGAAAAGGCAGTTGCATGTCTGACTATGGAGACCAAGGGTTGTGTTGGTGTTATAAGTTTGGAGTTTTAAAAGATTTGTTGGAGCTGGCCAGATGAAGAGTTTATTGGGTGCTAAAGATATTCCAGTAAAAGGAGACAAATGAGGATGGCCATTCAGACAAGGAGTTGGATGGTAAGAATGGACCACCACAAACAGTTTTGGACTATTGGAGTAAAAGCTTAAGGAAGGGAGTGGTCAGAAAAAGGGTTGGATTTATTGGAGAGAAATAAAATTACTAAAAACAGATTAACATGGTGTATATGTTACATTAAGGTGCTTGTGTCTATCTTATATGCAGGGTGGCACTACTGAACATTCGTCAGCAAAGGGCTGTAGTTGATTCTGGTGATGTTGGATTCAAGTAAGAGCAAGGCTGCAGGAAAAAAAAAAACAATAGGAAAATATTGCATACAGAAATGAGAGCTAAAAAATTTTGAAATATAATCATTATTATAACAATGAGAAGGATATTTGTTCAAGAAATATACTGGAGGTAAAACACACTAAGAGACAAATAGTCCAGGAATATTATCCTACCTTCTTTGAGGGACTGGGTAGAGGATGGCAGAAGTTCAGGATGAAAATACACAAAATCAGACTGGTTTAAGGAGAAAGACAATCAGTTCACTTTTGGGCATTTGAGTTTGAAGTGTGTGAGAGAAACCTGGATAAGGAGTTCTAGTAATTGACAAATATATGTTTGAAGCCCAGGAAAGGAAATCCACAATGAAAGTTAAATTTAGAAGTTGTCAGTATATCGGTATAATCGAAACCACGTAAGTACTAATAGATGAGATTAACTAGGAAGAATAGATATGGTAAGATGATGGTTCTCTGGGAGGCACAAAAAAAGCTAAATAAAGAAAATGTGCAAAGGGTGAGAGTAAAGAAATGGTTGCAAAAATTCAAATAGAATAAAGAAAATTCAGTGTCATAGGCAACAATGGCTTATCCATTTCAAGAAGGTTAATGATGTCAAATAAGTCAAATAGCCCAGTTACATAAAGAAAACATCACTTAAGATTGGCATTTGGAATATCACTGAATGGCAAGTTTAACAGATGAGTGGGGATTGAAACTAACTGAGTTAACAGAAGATTGGACATTGGAAATATTGTGCGTAGCACTGAAATCTCAATACATATTATAATTACCTATGTTATGGTTGAAAGAGGAGATTCCAAGGTCCTCTTTCACCAGAACTATTTATTTAGTAACAATAATTATGGCAGGTTCTCCAATAAAGTTGTTTCATTATAACATTGATGAGATGTGTTGGACTTTAACTCTCATTTATATCAATTAGCTTATAGTAAAATTTGGTATAGTAGTTTCACTTAAAGTTGTTTCAAAGAATCTATCTACAATATTAAGTGAAAACTTTACTTGGGTTTTTACAAAGACCAACATGTGATTCTAATCTACAATAGGTTTTAGGAAGCCCTATTTCATTTCATGCCATCCTTTTGTTTCCCTTCCTTTTCTCTTTCTCTTCCTTTCTTCCGACCCTCCTTCCTTCCTCTTTTTCTGTCCTCCAACCTGCCTGTCATCAGTAGCTAAAAATACATTTATCACTCTGGCCCTGCCTAGGTTCCAGTGGGAAGCTTGGCATTTAATCGGCCTTTTGAAATACTCAGCAGAAGCATGAAAATTATCCACCCATATTGAAAGCCAATATATCTAATTTCAAAACTTTATATATGGATCAATTAACTTAGAATAGAACACCTCTGGAGCTATTACCATTTAATTTTTTTTTTTTTTGTCTCAGGCTAACTCTTGAAAAGAAAGAAACATTTTTATGGGCATCATCTGAGGTAGGTGTATCCAATACAATCAAGAGACAAACATTAAAAATCCTATTACTTCAGATCTAAAATCCCTTACTGATGGTTTAAAGTGTACAAGTCTTTACCTTTATTTGGAGTTTGGTTTTCTCATTCAAAAAATGAGATTAATATTACCAACTTAATAAGTTTTAAAATAAAATAATATAACCAGGAACATAACACATAATATATAGTTATAAGATATAAAAATAACATTTTGTTAGCCCCTCTCAAAAATTATTAAGTTAAGAGCTCTTTCTATGTGCTTCATTTAAATATAATAAAAGTAGTAAGCAGGATCAAACATATAGTAAAAAAAAATTATTAGTACTTAAATATTATTTGATCTGTTTTCCATAGAAAATTTCAAATGAGTAGAACGTTGATATTAAGCAAGGCTTAGGTGATATTTATTACTCCTAAGAGTTTAGTTCTAGCAGATGCCTGAGAATTTTGAAATGTTATATATTAGCTTATAATTATAATATGCATTTACAATGTCAAAAGCTTTAAATAATTCAAATAAATATTTTACAAACTCTTTTTCATAGCTACAGTGACCCACTTGGCAGTCTTTAGTGCACTTGATAGTTTATTAAGAATGTTTTAATGGTATCCAAGTGGCTTTACTCAAAGAAAGCCCATAGACTATAATAAAAATACTTCATTCTGTCCTCATGCTGCTTAAATAGACTCTAGACTAGACTCTTTGTGAGGTACCGTGTGCATTCTAGGCTGAGAGTCTCTGTCAAGGCTGCTTTGGCACCAGCTTCTACTCTAAATCCAAGGACTTCTCACATTGAACACTATGAATTCTTCTAATTGTCATAATAAGAGTTTCATTTGTCACTTAAACATTGCTCATAGATATCTTGATATTTTTGCAGTTTATTTTATACTAGATTTTACTGGGTCATCTCAATTTTTGGTTTGTATTACTTGAAATTCAAGGCAAAGAACACAGTGAATAAAGGTTGTCTACCATTCATTAAAATGTTACTTCTGTTTTACTGACAGTGTTTGTTGAA